GAACATTATGTTAAGTTGAAATAAGTCAATCATAGACAACACTGCACAATTCTGTTCATGTAAGTAGTCAGATTCAGAGACAAGAAGTAGAACGTGGTTGCCAGAAACTGGCGGGGAGGCAAGTAGGGGGTGTTTAATGGATACAGAGTTTCAGTACACAGTTTCAATTTTGGAAAGCACAGAAAATTCTGGGGATTAGATGCACAACATGAATGTATTTAACTCTGCTGAACTTAAAAATGGTTAAGATGGTTACGTTTCATGTCACCTGGATTTGATAAAACTAAAAAGTATCTTGGTGGATTCCCATGGGCAAATGGATGGAGCACAAGAGAATAAAGTTAATGCCACATGTAGGAAACTATTTGGGGAATCACAACCACTGAAACTGAGTTAAGAAGCTGACACTGCAGCAGAGAGGGTGGAAGGCAGACACACTCTGTGAACGAGGGTTCTGATGTGGTATCAGGTGCTCGAGAAGAGTGTGGTGTCACTATCCCTTCCCCTGACTGCCTAGAGATATGGGATGTAGAGTACAAGGACAGTAGTTGAGATGTAATGTCTCCAGAATGCATGAACCAACACAGGCCTAAATTATCCACAAAGGTAGAGCTAACATACTGGTAGTGGAGCCACGCCAGCGCATATTGAGTGCCCGGACAGCTAGAACCAGGCATGCATATTTCTGTTTTGGGCTTATACTAGATATAGAAAGGTACCCACATTACATAAGCACTCAAGGACGAGATGACTGAGGAGACCAAGTCCTTCATGTTCCTCATGTGGCTGTGGGTAGGACCTGAGACTTCCACCCTTAGAATCAGTCCCTAAAGCCCTCTGACACCAAAAATACAAATGCGACCTAGGGAACATTAGGAAGCACTGCACCACTGACAGCCTTTGAAAAAGATTATCAGCTAAGCCGGACTGGGCTCAAGGAATGGCAATGTGGGACACAAACCGAGCTGTGGCTCAAAATTCTGGAACAAAGATGGTTGGTGGAGAAAAGTTACCACGGGGAGGTGTAGGAGGCACTGCCACTAGGGAGCTGGGGAAAAGGAGCCCTCAGGATAATAAAGGGATTGACACTGAAGGAAAGACCCAGAATGACAGCACCTCACCTGTGCTGACACTGAGGTCTTTCATTCTGGGCAGTGGAACTCTTCTTTTACATAAAACTGGGGGGAGTTGCTCACTTTCTACACCCCTACTCACGGATTTCCCACCTCAGGGAACGTGTGGAGACCTTTGCAGCTATGGCACCAAGTAGATTAGACAGCCAAGACCACAAAGAAAGAGACCACAGCAGTTTGAGAAGAGTTATTTCTAGAGCAGCAGTAGGTTTCTGGTGCTCACCTTGTGCAATGAACCCAGTTAAATGTGAACCTTGAAGAGCAACCGACATGTCAAATGCTGCGCAGTGAGCTCTACATCCTGGGGACAAAGAATGAGCATACCTGCAGAGACCTGTGTGAGGCACAGCAGAATAAATGCCCCACCTTTTCCTTAGTTACAATTAGCAAAGGATTTGACAATCTCTTTTCCCTAATGAGCAGAGTTGAAAAATCAGTATCAGAAAGAATGTATTACTTGTATGCTGTTTAAATGAACTATTTTGCAAACCACATTTAATCATTCCATATACATACATGTGTCTTCACAATTTGTTTTTAAATCTCCAAAGTTAAATAATTTTTAGTGTAATTTAAAAATATTTGTAAATCAGATAGACCCAACTGATGATTGCAAGCCTATTAGTAGTCAGAATAGACAAAATCAATAACTTATACCCTCTACAGATGGCAGTCTTGCAAATCCATGCAAGCCACACATCACAAATGTAATTCCCTTACATGGATGCCCAACCTGTGAGAAAATGTTTTCTTTGATAATTAAGTACCACTGTGTTCTGATACCCCAACCTTCCTCTCCAGAGCCTTGTTACTGTCAGGAAATTCTATTTACTGAAGCAAAGCAAGGATGCCTACTACCACCAGATAGTAAGCATCAGGGCCAGCAGGTAGCACGGTGGTTAAGGTGCTGGACTCCCACATGGCCGACCACAGTTTGAGTCCTGGACTTGCTTTCTCACTTTACCTCTCTTTCTCTCTCTCTGTGTGTCTTGCTGGTCAAATTAAAAAGCAGTAAGTAAATAATTCTTTAAAAAAAAAAATGAGCACTGGAACCAGCAGTTGGCATAATGACTATGTCACTGGACTCCATGTGGTTGACTGCGGTTTGAGTCCCGGACTGGTTGGCTCAAAGTCACACCAGGCATGTGTGCATGTGTACTCAGGATCCCAAGAGGAGAATGGAGGAAAAGGGATTGCGACATGGCCATCCCCCCTGGGGAATGATTTCTCACTTTCTGTCTCTCTCTGCCTTTTGGCGAGCGCACACTTGCCCCCTATAGTGAAAACCTCTCCAAAAAAAAAAAGAGCATCATGCTATATATATTGTAACCAGTACATTAAGATGTAAACCTGAAACAAGTGGCCTACGTGCTAAAAAGGAGGAGAGAAACAACATATTGTAGTAAATAACATCTTAGCTTTCCCTAAAAACTAAGAAGACTCAACTAAAATGCTCCTGAAATTAACCAAGTTCAGGGAACCAGCAGTTAGCCTAATGGCTATGCTGCTGGACTCCCACGTAGTCGACCGCAGTTCATGTCCCAGACCCAATGGCTTAAAACTTACGCCGGGCGCGTGTGCATGCATGCCCAAGATCCC